GCTTCGCTTGCGTGTGTGGCTTTTGCTTTACCTATTAAACTGTCTTTATCTCAACCCATGAGTTTTTCTCACTTTTACTCTTCCAACTCTCCCCCCATCCCACTGTGGGGGGGAGTGAGCAGGTGGCTGCGTGGGGCCGAGCTGCAGGCTGGGGTTAAAGCACAACAGGGGAGCAGTGCATACACCTAGGTACAGGTTACCAATGCTGTCCCCTTGGTAGGAACAGGACTGGAATGGCTCACAGCTGCTTCTGCTTTGGTTAGGATAGAGAGCTGCTGTTCTCTGCCTTGAGCCAGTCACAGATCAGTGCCTGATACTGTAACCAAAGCTACAAATAAAATACTGTGCCAAAAAGCTGGGTAAAACACAGTCATTGCTGGAAGAAAGCTGATGGTATGGAAATCCTACACCTGATTCCAGGTACCAGAGCAACATAGGTGTATGTCCTAACCAGCCCAGTCTTTCTTCTTTGGCACTCAAAAGCTCCACTGCAGATCTTACTGCATTAAGCTTCAACTTCCCTCCGACTGTTTGGGGAGCAAATGTGTTTAGGTTGATGTCAGTGTCCCATGTTTTCCAACCATGGAAAAAACCTTAGAAACCAAAAGGGAAAAGCTGTGTTTCTGTTTCCCTCCAGAACAGGACACCTGTGTGCTATATAGTGATAAAGCAGCCCCAGAGCTGTGACACATGCATAGCAGCAGTGTGGGTGGAAGCTTCATGTCAGTCTTATCACCTATGAAAGGGCTGCACAGTTAAAGTGTTTGGGCTTTGTCCCTCCTAGCCTACTTAAAAATTGAATGGTGATTACTTGTTTATCATAAAAGACTGTATTTACCTCTAAAACACTCCCAGGCTTCTTCAGTTGACTGAGAGAGGATTACAGACTTCACTTTCCTTCTATTGGAGACATTTAAAAGTGCTGCTCTTAACTGCACATGTTCAGCTGTCACTAAAATCCAGATGCTCCCACTTAGCTGCACTGGCACTTCAGCCTACTCAAAACAACCGAAAACAATAGCCTGGAGCTCTGAAGATGTAATCACTTGCATAAACCAGATCTGTACTAGGAGTGGGGGGAGCGGTGGGAGTGGTGTAAGTCTTATTAGAAGAACCTCTAACTTACCAGGCTGTTTACCCATGAATATATCTTAAGATACCTCAGGCTTGTTTTAAATACCCTCAGACAGTAGGAATCATGTATTTTCCAACTGCTCTAATTGCAGAGACACAGTAACACTTCCTGCTGTACTTAAGGGAGGGCCCCACTCTAAATGGTGCCAGTCAAATTAGGAGGCTGAAGGACAAGTTGTTTATCTGCCTTCACACTGCCTGAACATACAACTTGGGAAATGTAGTGATGAAAATTCAGAGCAAGAATTTTTAGAATCTCAGTGGAGCAGTTCCTTTCTTCCCCCAAGACATAAAGGTAACCAAACCCAACTGTTCTTCACTCCAGAGCCCAAGCTAGGGGACCTGTACCGTAGTGCTCTTCTGAGGTAAGGATTCCAAGCAGCAGAGAGGAAAGCGAGACGTTTCAGTGGGAGGGGAATGCTGAACAGCCGCCTCTGCCCTGAACCTCACCTATGGCCTTGCAAATACACCTGACAAATGAAAGGCAGCAGCAAACCAGCCAAACCTCTGGCAGATCACCAAGAGGACACAAGCCAGGTGCTATGCACAGCTGTCCTCTGCCACCTGCCTCACCTCACCCAAAGATAAGCCCACACCATCTTACTTTCACACCTTTGCAGGGTAAAATATTTGGAAATAAAAAGAAGCAAGCCTCAACAGTGTGTGGCTTTTAATCCCCAAATGTGCAGGCAACATGACAATAAACAGAAAAATTAATAGTTAATGGCTGTTTCTTCCCTTTAAATAATAAGAAATTTTGAAGCTCTAAGTCACATGTTTGCTATGCTATATATGGTTCCTCAGGATCAAATCTTTAATTCAGTACTCGGCACTTGAAACTGTAAGATGTATAAAGGGGAAATACTTGACTAAAATTATGTAGGAAATAGTGTAATTTAATTTTCTTCAGCAAGGAGGGTAGGAAGGTTGGACAGTTAAAAACACAAACTAAACAAAACTGGTCATGAATTTCATTCAGGTTACCTTTCTTTAGAGGCTGGACTTTGTCATCAGTCCTGGCTGCCTGGAAAGAGCTTAATGCTGCTAAATTCTGAACCAAGATCAGCAACAGCAGAGATGCTCCAGCTATGAAAAAGCACCTCCTCCTTTTCCTCCTTTAACAAAATTCTGGTGCCAGGGGTCTGATAGCACCAGGCTTTCCGTGTGCAGACAATCTGGCTATATAACATGAATCTTACATTTAGCTCCTCTCATATAATTTATTTTACTACTTTTTGTTGCAAATATTCCAAACTTGCCCTCACATACCTTAGCTGAGATACACACAGAGGAGATTTCAACTGCAAAAATATATGTAATTTTAAAATGTTACTTTTTACAACTGTCTGCATAGTAATAACAGGTTCTGCAGATACTCCAGGAAACCTCTGTCTGCTATGTTCACTGAAAGCAAGCAGGACCAAAAAAAAGCTGGTGTTTGTATTGTTGTACTAACTCTGAAACTGTAACAATGTAAAGCTTCACCTCTGAACTGATAACTGTATTGTATTCTTCAGTAGCCACAACCTTTAACAAAACTACTGCCAAAAATCAGACCTGAAAGTAAGTTAACTTTGTATAGTTAATCATTTTTCTCTACTGTTACAGATGCTGTTGACACCTCTCTATGCTGCTGCACTACTGGTTTCAAACACAAACTTGATAATTTTTCTTTTATCTTGTAGCCTACAACAGCACTAAAATACAAGAATAAGCCAGGTACCTGTAACAGCCACACATTCACCCTCACATTTTTCATCTCACAGAATGGCTTCCAATACAAAGGTCACAAGCACTGGTTCACAAGAGCAGAAACTCTTAATACTTATCAGCCTTGGTTTTTTCCTCCCCACTGTGGAATCATAGAGCTAAATCCTTCCCAATTCCTATCTCAGGAATAGAACATGCCTTCACAAAACACAGTTTCTAACTAGAAGCTGCCAATAGTCTTGCTGTTCAAGAGGACACAGGCAGATCTCAAGCATCCACACACCCAAGATTGCTTGAATGGCCCTTCTTTTCAACCTTGTTAAATGCTGAATCATCTTATGGTTATATGTTTTCACATCTAGACACAAAAGTCAACACACAAGCAGGATGACATGCTTTGCTTTTGGATAAATAGCAGTTACAAACTGCAAAAATATTCTAAATGTGGCCACCACAAAATGTAGTGCCAAGATGCAGTAGTTACTGAATCTTACCCATTTCTACTTGCCTTGAAAGCATTTGAAAAGGCTCTCCAAAGCAGGTTTTTAAGCACCAGCCTGCTCCTCACAGCACCCCAATTTTCCTCATTTTTTTTCAACAGTAATCAAGCAGCTAACCATTTTCCTGCTAAAGAGTAAGTCACCTGTTAGAACAAGTCTTTCATGTGAAATTCATCACATCAGATACTGGCAGTGACATAAGGAAAAGGAGCCAGTTTAAAGTCCAAGACAGAACAAACAGCAGGTCAAAAAATGAAACATTTCAAGGAATTCAACATTTTCTAAACAGTCGCATATTAGGCATACCACAGCTGTGATGCATAAGCACCCATGGTGGCATTATATTTAAACTGCCAGAAGACTGCTTATTATGCATTAATTTGGAGCAGCACAGGAATGGCTGGGTGCTAACATGACATCACTTCTTATTTATAGTAACTCTTAATATCCCAAAGGAAAAGATAAGCTGAGACACGGAGACAATCACAATGGCTGGTATCTGAATTCTACTCCTTTCTCATATTATCAGTTAGGCATACACACACTTCTATCAAGTCAGAACAAGGATCTTCTAGAACACAGGAGGTACAGGAGATGTGTCAGCGTGCTGGAATTTGGGCAGTGGTCCACTCAGAAGCAGTGGTTTTCCCACTCTGAGCAAGTTACCAGTAAGAGGAGGTCAAAAAATGAGGAGCAGGAAGGAGAGGGGCTGAGAACCCTGAGGCAGACAACAGACCCTGATAGTTTTGTCTTCATATTCAGTAACAAAAGATCTGAAAGGGGAGTTGAGCAGAGATTTCCCATTTCTGAGATTCTGAAAATATAGTAAAAAGAGTCCAAATATTTAGGTAAGATAGGTTTCAGGAAAGTGAGCGGAAAATACTGATATTGTGCCTAATTGAACCTGTAATCTCACTACTACGTGAATATAAGTTGACTAAGAACTAGAGCTCATCACATGGCTTCTCTGAAATCATAAGCATCAGCATGAGCCAAATAACATGTCTATCTACCAACTGAAGTTTCAATTACCTTTCTACTAAAACTCTTCCATTAATTTGAAACAGTACAAAGATCTATTACACAACAGACCTGCACTTAACAAGAAGCTGATAGTAAGTTAGAGAAGGTAACAGTTTATAGTCAAAGCATTACTTTCAAACTGCTTTAAAGTCCCCACAGCAGTTGGTAAGCACTACTTCTACCCCAGAGCACTTAGATCTGCACAGCTAGCACTGATACAGCACTCTGGAAACAGCTGAATGTATGCAACAACAGACTCCTCGACACACCTTTAGGTCTTCCAATACCTATGTAGTTCCAGCTCATGGTGCAAGCACCTGCTCTACCTTATGGAGATATGTCCTTTGATATGTTATTTAAATCTGAAGCTCAGTCAGCTGCAGCAAGTTAAATCAACAATTTCTTGTCAGTTCTGTAACAAAGATGCTTTCACAACAGGAAACAATACAGTCAATCTAAGGCAGATTTTTTCACCTCTGAAGAATTACCTGAGATTTTAATTCACCTCCTTCTCCTGATCTAAAATTCTGATCCACCCACTATTGCTAGTAAATGAAGTTTTCATTTAAACACTCAGATTTAAGTTTATTCATACACAGCAAAAGTTCCACCTGCATATTAAAAACAAACAGATTAGAAGTAAATGTTTTATTCTTCCAACTAAATTCCAGTACTACAAGGGCAGTAAAACAATGATACACTGAAAAATTGCAGCAATAAACATTTGTTAAAGACTGATAGAATAAATAAAAACTACAAAAATGAGAAATCATATAAACCCATTCTTAACCCCCAAAAAAGTCATGGAATACAGAAATGCCCTCCTTCACTATTTCACAGGCAGTACTGTGGGCTATTTGCTTAAAATTGTCCTGGGATTACATTCTAACTTAACTGTGATTACAGCTTTGTTGTAGTGCACAGTTATGAAAACCACACTAACTTCAGTCAGAAGTGTCATTCTACATTTTTATTTACACAACCAGTGAAGGGCAACTTCTAGAACACCAGCTTTAATCCTTTACTTTTTCAAACTTATTAACATAAGAAGCCAAATTGTAATGATACAGCAAATGAGGCCACTGGTATTATTACAGGTAGCAAAGGTCCACATCCAGGTGGTACTGACATCAGGGAGCACTCCAAAACCAGTTGCTGCATAAGAGTGGTTGCCACTGACAAAAGCTTGAAATAACCTGTGTTCACAGGGGGAAAAAATATGGCATTGCTGCAAGTCTTTACTGGGACAGCTTGCAACAATAAAACAGGGTGTATAGGGCAGCCCACATATGCAGAAAGTGTGATTCATGAAACATCTGCAAAGACAAAAAAAACCCAAGAGTTAATGATGGAGTTTACAAATGTCAGCTCTATCACAAAGCCGCTACGGCAATATCAAAACCTCCTTCAAAAATAAAAAAACAGCACATTATGGGAGACAGTTCTAGATGTTTTAAACACAAATTGCATTTTATCTCTTATCTTCCTTTCAACCTCGGTCTGCCATATTACCAATTTAAAGTATTTATTTAACTTGGGGCCTATCAGAAGCTTAACACACAATGGCCATTTAAATTACTGAACTTTCATTAATTTAATGCTGCTATAGGAACCAGAAGAAATACTCACAACTGGCAGGCTGTTCTCCATATCGTCGCATGATTTGATCATGCGTGAACTTCACAAATGCGTCGTATTGTTCTGCAAGCATGAAGCGTGGAAGTGTGAGTATATTAAGTTTAACTCAAGCAAAAAAATATTCAAGGCTACTTTTTTATACATACAAATCATACAAATTAAACACGCATCCACTAACAGCAGTTTTAAGTGACTTTACGCAGTTCATAGCTGCCATTTCCTTTCCATGCCTAAGAACAACAATGCAGCACATGTCCCCTTAATTAAAACTTTCCCTTACAAACTTCTGTAATGGGAAAGAGAGTAATATGCTCAAAGAGAATTATGCTGCACATACACAAAGACCTCAATATACCCAACACCTAGCTAAGTGTGAGACATTGTATTTTGAAGTAATCAAGTGTGCCCATTTCACAGATCCATAAGGGGGCAGAGTAGTTAAGCAAACATGGCATTAAGGTCAGTGCTAGGGTTAGAAACTTAACTTCTCTCTGCTCCTATCACTACCAGATGTAAGAAAATTAATTTAATGAAATGGAAACACAGAAGTACAGGAAAGGGACTTGCTACGGAGTTAGAAATTCTTTTTGGTGACCACCAGAAAATCAAAAGCAAACAGCAAACTAAAAAGATGAAATGCTAAGTGACTAACACTTGACCAATTCCATTCACAAAAGTAGCCACAATAGGAGACATACAGTTGACTGAGGACTTCATGAAAACAGCTACTGTGTAATCTGAAATGAAATTTAGATATCCAGCACATTAATTTGGCTTTGAACTAAGCATTGTTATTTCCCAGAAAGATTATTCTTTCTATACACATACATACAAATACATTCGCAATATTTTATTCAGTTTTAATATTGCACTCATCAGCAGGATATCACCTTTCAGAATTAGGAAATTGAACAAGGAGAGTAATATCTACCAGATGACGCTCCTCTCCATTCCCCTTCCTCCCTTGTGGAAAAATACATGTGCAGCAATGTGGGGTGTTCTGAGAAAAGGGCAAGGTCAAAGAAGGCAATCTTCAACCAAAAATGCAGTTAGATTTGTAGTGGTTCCTAGTCCCACAGGTTTGCCCCATTAAAGTCCCCATCCTCTTGCAGGGATGAGCTTCACCTTTGAAGTAAACAGGGTATCAGTAATCAGCAAGTAGTGCAGCAGCAGCCCAAAGTCCGGACCTGACCCAGTGATCTAAGGACATTCACCCCTGACTGAAGGGGCCCAGGGTCACAGCAGCCAGCTCCCCTCTGCCCAAAGCAGGACCTCTGCTTCGCTGCCGTTCTGATGGATGGCTTTTCAGCAGCCATGTGAGGATCTTAGCCAAACAATAAAGCAACACAAAGAGTAGACTGAAGGATCTGTTGCCCAGAAACCATCTCCAAAAATAACAGCAAGTAGAACTTTTCCTAAAAGTAGGTATTAAAGGCCAGAAACCAACTTGCAAGCTTTCTTCTTTAAAGGTTTAAGTAACATACACAGCTGCTTTGTAGCATCATCTTTGTTAAAATTATGGCTTTGGAAATTTAAAGAATCCATGGTTACTAAAAATCCCCTTTCTTGTGGCATTCAGAGTGGGAAAGTTAAGCAATCCAAAGGTAAGAGCAACCTACAGTGAATTGTTTGAAAATTTAAGTGAACGCGTGTAAATATACTTACACCACTGCTATCCCATATGATGTATGTTCTAAGTATCTATTTTAAGCCGAAAGGTGGCTAAATGCCACAAAGACAAATATGATTACTATACTACTTGACCTTTAGTATAAAAAGCTGGTTTTCCCAAACAGATTCTAAAAAACCTTTCAAGTTAAAAGTTTCCTTTAGCCTCTTACACTCCTCCTCCGGTTTTAAAATCTGCAAAGGACCTTGCAAACCCAAGTTTATGCTAACACAGCGGTTTGAGGTAACAGGCAAGAGGGGAAATCAGGGTATCACAGTGATCTGGGTTCTCCATTTATCAAACACACTCTCTGCATGAAAGGCAGCTCTCCTCACAAAGAACACAGGAGAGGAAAAAAGACAGTATCTAGCTAGCTACCTACAAGAAAACCATGATTCAGAAAGGAACAAGGAAAATATCTGAGATCCAAACATTCAGTTAAGTCACTTGAAAGAGGTTATTCAATTGAGATTTATTACAGAATTTCCAGTTACATTTCCATTGACTTCACTAGTTTGTAAGAATGAGTATCACTTTACTGTACAAACTTGAGAAAAAGATATAATCATTCCATCAGCAGAAAAACGTAACTGGCCTTCTATGTAAGGATTTTCTAAATTCTTTTGGCAGCCTCTCTTTCTAAATTCCCTTATACTGCTGAAAATTTATTATTGGCTTGATATGTGGGATGCAGTAACAAGACCTTTCTAATACCTCTTCTGGTGACCACCATCGTAAGAACAAGTAAACCTAACTCATCTCACTGTAAACCATAACCCTCCAAACAGAAACCATCCTCCCTTCCCCCCAAAAATCATTCCCCTTGGAACTGACGGAGCACATGTAAGCAACTTGCCAGAGGGGTTCTTGCTGTAAAGAACTACAAGTTTGTAGTCAGAAAGCGTCTGGATTAAATGTAAGTATATCTGGTCTTCAAATGATTATTATGACTGCTAAATGAAATGCATTTAAGAGAACGCAAGAAATGACCCAATTCCTAACATATATAAATTAGAAGAAAAAAAGCTCTACAAAGTCCTAATTCAGTCTGAAGCAGGTTAAAAAGAACAACTCAGAAATGGAATATTAGGCCCAAAGCAACAGAAGCATTTAGGGCTCTAGTTATAGTTGTAAATAGATTTAAGGAGGACTTAGTAATTTCTTGCATAGTAATAGCAGATCAGCAAGCACAGAACAGAGGCTCAGGTGCAGAGACAATACTGTCCCAGGCAACCCAAAAGCCTGACACAAGTCTGGTGGCTTTCGACATGGATCTGCCTGTAGAAGGTTTTATTCCCACATCTGAAGAGATTTGCAAACTTTTATTCTGATGTGTTTTCAGGTGGGAAGCAGAACAGCCATGGGTATTCAAAAGCAAGTTTGCTTCCGAAGAACGCACTCAGATGTTTGCTGTCGTCACAATAAATACTAAATTAGACACCAAATCATACTGTGAAGACACCTACCTCTGAATGCAACAGAATTTAGGTGCTCAAATGCTAGCAAGATGCTTAGAAGTAGAGAACTCCAACCACTAAAGAAAGGCTGTATTTACAATGCTGACATTAACATGATTCTTATGAAAAGGTAAGTTGGCATCAGACACCAAAAATAACAGCCTAATGATGCGAAATACAGTAATTCAACACAGAGCATCAGAAATGCAGCTAAACTACCGCCACTCAGGCAGATAACAAACACCGCTGGCAGCAGTGTAATGCTAAGTACTGAGAAGAGAAAGGGAAATCTTAGGTACTGTCATCTTGCCAAATTCCAGAAAAAGGAAGTCGGTTCCCAAGCGGGGGGGGGGGGGGAAAAAAAAAAAAAAAAAAAAAAAGTCCTTCACAAAGAGCTCTTAAGCAGTAGAACAGAAAGTCTTTCTGGCAAAAAAATGAGGAGGAAATGATCAATTCAAACATGATAGCAAGAGAAAGTTCTATCTGAAATAAAACTACTTCTTACATTGATTAGTAATACCCAGGAGTCATAGATTCTATCCAAGGCAGCATAGAAGAACAAAAACCTATCAAAGAGACTACACAACATTTTTTCTGTCCTGTATGCAATCTCATTCCTTAATCAGATTACGTCAGAAGAAACAGCATAACACAAAAATGAGTAAAAGTTTTAAGCTTTTGAACTCATCCTAACACATCATTTTGAACTATAATATACCTGCAAGTTTTGTGGTCAAAATTTCTTCATACTCTTCACGGATTTTCTCTTCACGTTCTTTCAGCAAACGTTCACAGATCATTCCAACTTGTCTGAGAGTAAACAGGGGCTGTTCTTTTTTCAATGGTGATGATGCTGCAGATGAAGTACCTAAGATTAAATATTTGGGCATACCAATTTACACTTACAAATAGTTCAGAACCATTTTTTAGAATCAGTTTTCTTCACATTTTTTACATTAAAGAAACTTCACAGAACATTTGGAGAAGTCTTTCTCTGCCATTTGAACACTTCTAATTACTATCGAAGTAAAACTGGACACTCAAAAGGAAGACATCTACAATGGACAATATGCACAGCTATCAAAACACCAAGCGTGTCACACTGTAAGCACCATTTAAACGGCAGTTGCCATTTAAAAATTTAAGCTTCTATTTCATGTAAAAATTACAGTACAGTATATCTTTGCAAAGACAGCCACTTTGCAAAAGCTTATTACAGTATCAGTGTCAGGGTACGGAGGATGGTCTTTTGAAAACAATGCAAGCTTTGTGTCGTACTGATTCTTAAAATGAGAAGCTAATCTTCTAGACCAATGCTAGTATTACCAAAACCAGCAACAGTAACTGGTGAGAAGGTGCCATAAACCACCAGAAAACTAGGGAAAATTATTTACGCAAACAGAGTCTAAGACATAACAAAATGACACAGAACTTTCTGGGTACCTGGCAAAGCTGGTCCAGTAAGGAGAAATGCATGTGGCTGTGCATCAGTAGAACAACAAGGATCTGTCTGCTGGAAGCTATTTTCTAAGTGTCTCCTCTTCTGCATACGTTTGTACTCCTGTTTTATGTTGTACAGAATTTGTTCTAAAACAAAAACAGTAAGAAAATTAAACATAAAATAATTACATTTCACACTTCCACTTAACTATTCCCAAACACTGTAGATAATTAACAGATTATAAAAAGCTAGACTATTAAAATATGGCCTGCGAAACCCACCATGTTTTACCTAAGATACATACAATGAAACTGAAAGAAAGGTAACTCCAGACTGTTTTCACCAGAAGAACACAAGCAAAAATTTATTAGTTAAGGTTGGGTATTGGTACCAGAGTACTGCTAACAAAATAAACAGTGTAAGGTTAAAATTTAGGAACCATCAACTATAGAATATACATGTATAAAAATTAGGCTACAGAACTTCTACTGGTATTCATCATCTTCCCTTCACACATTTAATTTGCAATCATCTTTCTCCCACAGACAGCGTTTGTCATTCATACAGTTAAGCGTAACAAAAGACTCCAGGATAAAACATGTACATGAAATACCATTCTTCTCTGAACAGCTACTGGCATACAAGCAGCAAAGTGGAGAGAAAAACAATTTAAACAGAATATGCATAAAGCAAGTACTGCTTAAAATCTCAAAGAATTGGAAACTGACAGACAAAATACGAAAGCCTTCCACAACATTTTTGACAGCCGCAGATCTAACCAAATAAACACAATGGACAGATCAATAGTCTCTTTTGGCAATATGTAGTTCAGAATTTGATTGCACTGAATAAAATACAGCAAGTGCTTTTAATAATCTCATCACCATTCCAGGATTACAAGGAAAAAAGTAATCCTTGCAATGAAACTACCAATCCTGTGTCCCTCCTCTCTGAAATTCCATGTACCTAAAGGCTCTCAGGTACATCAGTGCCCTAACTGCATATCCTCTAGCAATGTAAAATTTTAAAGAAAAAAAAAAAGCCATTTTCTATTTTTCACAGGAAGAGACTTCCAAAGACTCAAGCTTTATGAGAATTCTTACTTTAAAATGCTCAAATGCATTTAAAAAAATTCCCTACAGTATCGGCTTCCACTGAGACTTTTAGACTTTTGGCAAAGGCAGCTTTCCAAAACTCAGATACATACAAATCAATGTGATCATGTCAGAGTTGCAAAGGACTCCACTCAGTACCTTCCTACTTCTATTCAGCATTTTGCCAATACAGTATCATGAAAACTTCTCAACTAATTTTCAGGTTTGTAAACAGTACGTTATTGAGGCTCCTTATTTGAATATTTTCTAGTAAGCAACCATGTGAAGCAAAAACTTCAGCTATCAGCTTATTGAGTCAGTGGCTGAAGCCTATGCTAGGCCAAGCAGAAGCAAACATTTGCCAATTCCCAGTTCAGAAGTTTAACTATTGCAGTGGTTCTTTAATTCTATAAGTTGGTCTGGGGGCTTCCAACTCATAAAAAGAGAGGGAAATAATTTCCAGTCAACAGGAATACCAGCATTTCCAGCAAAGGAGCTTCTTGTTTGCATTTTGTCCATTGATGAAGGCCTCGCAGTTTATACCTTTTCAGTCCTGTGCCTACAGTGCTCATATAATTTTCAGCTCCCTAAAGGGGGATCAATAACTTGGATCAAAGCAGTAGCAAATGTAGAAGACATAATAAAGAAGCACAGCAGGGAAATGAAGAGAAGGAAACGACGAGAAAGTAGGAAAAAAAGTACTCGAGGGTGACTGGAGGATTCATACTTTTTGTAGGACAAGACACATACTATACTCCAGCATGGTACAGAAATACATACATCAGGTTAACCGAAATGCAGTCAGGCTTCCAAAATTAAATAGAATCCCATGCAGAATTTGTCACGTGCATACACACTGCATCAGTCGGAGAAAGGCCCTGCGACATTTTTACTCAACAGCATTATGATGGTAAAACAATACTTTTCCTCAGAATCAAGTGTTGTTGTGGCTACAGCAATACTGCATAATTTCAAGTGGGAACCAAATTAGCTCATAAGATAACATCTGTTCTAAAGCATGTCTACAGTATGAGAAACGTGACCGCAAACATTCACACTGTATTTACATTAACTGAAGACTGTAAAAGATCACATGCATCCTTCACTACGACTACTTCATCTTAGGCATACTTTCCAAATTCCATATGAGCTGCAAAAACATCAGCCCAATTTCAAGTGTAACAACTTTGATAAAAATCTTCTCTACAGCTCTCCTTTATATTATCTTTTTGCAGAAAGATTCTCAAACCACATTAACCACCAAAATCATTTAAAGAAAACCCCAACAAAACAGTCTCTGGTCAATGGATAAAACTACAAGAGTTAAACAATAATCATCAGCTAAGTTTCTTCCAGCCCTAACAACCCCTGCAAATTAAACAGGGAATAATTCTGAGAAAATGTTAAAATACCAGTCAGAACAGAAGGAGCAAAAGTAGTATATGAGGGGGTGGGGGCAGAGAAATCAGGTACTGACTTTGGAAAAACAGTAACAACCGGAATAGAAAACTGAGATCTGTGCACCAAAGATACATGATTCTATTCCAAATTACGTTGAATTGTGGACACAGAAGTCTCAATAGCAACCTTCCAGTACCTCAAGGGGGCTTACAAGAAAGCTGGAGAGGAACTGTTTACAAGGGCATGTAGGGATAGGATGAGGGGTAATGGTTTTAAACTGCAAGAGGGTAGATTTAGATTAGGTATGAGGAGGACATTCTTTCCTGTGAGGGTGGTGAGGCACTGGAACAGGTTGCCCAGAGAAGCTGTGGATGCCCCTCCCTGGAAGTGTTCAAGGCCAGGCTGGATGGGGCTTCGGGCAACGTGGTCTAGTGGAGGGTGTCCCTGCCCATAGCAGGGGGGTTGGAACTAGATGATCTTTAAGGTCTCTTCCAACCCAAACCATTCTATGATTCTATGATATTACAGTATTTTCATCTACTTCTAATCTGGCAACAGTTTTTAACTTGCCATCTTCAAATCCTGCTCTGAAAAAAAAAAAATCTCAGGAAACATCATTGATGGATATATATTGGGAGATCCCCGTCCTGACAAAACCACTTTGCATTACTGTAACTTCAGGTAAAGGTATAAAGCTAAGCAAAGTGGGGTGGAGGAGGGGACTACTTAAACATGACAATAGACTGCCTACATTGCAAACAGCCACCAGGAGAAAAAAGCCTGAAGTCCTACCTGAACACTTGTCGAGTATGTACATAACCTGGTTTGGTAAATGGTATTCCTTATTTAGTCTAACTTAGAAGATTTAAGGCATTATTGCTCAGCACAGAGAACTGGACTACAAACTCTACTCAGTACCATGCTGCTAGTAGGCAAGATAACTGTGAGAATGACTCATCTCATACTTCCCAATCTCCACCATTTGTAAAATGGAGATTAGCAATCAAAAAACACAAGTTTAACATAGCATCAAACTGTTCAATGACTTCTCACACGAATGATCAGACTAGTAATGCTTCAAATTAAGCAGGCACATTTCTACACCAGCAAAGACTTGGTAGACATTTTTATTAACATACAGTGGCATAAAATCTATACCTTTAAACAAAACTATTTCACTGTGAACTGAAATGTAAGCTTGCAAATGTTTATGACCAATTTTAAATGAAAATCTCAATGCAAATTGAATTATTTTGTCTTTTGTTACTCTTCTAGATTGTTAAAAAAGTTGTTTAAATGCACCAAGTTACTTCTGGCATTTACAGTTTTGCTTAAGAAATCCACAAAAATATATCTGATGAACAAGCATATTCTGTTCAAAACAGTTTTAACAGCATCTCAGCACTTGAAAGAAGCCATGAAATATTAAGACAGTGCAAACCAGACTACTCTTGAACACCACCTATATTGCCGAGATCTAACTGTAAAGCCCTTTAAAACTCTGGCCCAGTTAAACACAGCTTAGAGTTAGCAGATCTCGTTCTCCAACCTATTTTTGATTCCAGAAAACCTTCCTGCCTTTTCAAGTTCAGTTTCTTAACTTCCTTTACGTCCAATTAGCTCCGACTATTCTCTCTGCAGTTGACAACTGAACTAAAATTTGCATTTAACTGGTGTCAAACACAGGACAGGGTTTTTTTTATGTGTTCCTCAATGTAGAGGCCCAAATTGTCTTTTACAACAATGACATGCATTTTAATTAACAAATTATTTTATATATAAAAATTTAGAATCTGAAAGTGCACTCATTAAAGAAAACTTAATGTAAGTGAGCTTCTCTAAGACTATAAAACTGAAGTGAGAACTTGAATCATATATATTAGAACTCATTACATATTTTAAATAAAGACTTGCATCCATCTTATAGGTCCTGAAGTTCAAATCAGACATTTTAAGTCAGGCAATAATTTATGAGACACCAAAAGGAATGTATTTAATATGATCAAATGCATCACTGTGGCCTATCCTCAGTTTCTTTTTAATTTCTCTCTATCTCCTGTGCTCAGTGTTTCCTACTGGTTAGAGGTACCTCTGAAGGCACAGAGCTAGCTAATAGGAAACACCAGGTGAAAATTAGGCCTGCTGGATCTAGGGTAGTAGCAAGAAAAAGCCACACTGCTAACACACTGAAATGAATTAGTATATCATAAATGACATTCAAATTCAAGATGACCATGAATCTGGGCCAGTTACACAAGACTGTATTATACACCCCTTCTCCTCCTTCAGGTTCAAGGCTAAGATAAAGAATGACAAACAAAGATTGCTACTATCACGTCAAGACCACTAAAGGCATAGGAGATTCAGTTAAATACACCTGAATGTAATGAAATGTATAGATATTCTTTTTTTATCTAGAGCTCCGTGTACTAAGAGCATAAAGTTGAGTACATACATTCATATAATATTGCATTAAGATGAAGGACAGCATTCACGTCAGTCTTCTTTCAGAATCTGAGATATGATTCGGGGAACCAAAATTTCACATTTCAGCTGCTGTCACATCCAATGAAGAGTGGATGAAACAGGAAGGGGGCAATTCAGAGTTCACGTTTGACATATGAAATATGATCTGTCACACTAATGGATTACAAAGCCAAATACTCATTTCCAAGGAGTGATGTCGTCTTACTTCAATTCGTGATAAAAAGGCAAGTTATTCTTTTACAAAGTTCTGTCATCTAATGACTTCATCCTGACCTGTAATTACCCAGAAATTATGT